CAATACCACACACCCCATTTTCTTTCTCTCTTGACCTAATCTCTCGTCTTTTCTTCTTTGCCTCGACATTATATCGGTAGACTGTCTTCCCGGACAAGTATTATTACGAAAGGTTACATTGACCGATAAGAAATATTAGTATGAGTCTCAGGTTATCTCTGTCTCTACAACTTCAATAATTTAGTTCCAAAAATAATAATAAATTGTCCGTCCCCACCCTTGGAAAAAGGAAAGGTTAAATAATGTGTAGGAGGCCTTCCTGGCATGTTTAATAACTTGCGTTTTGTTGGGGGAAAAAACGAACCGGGGGGGATTTTTTTGATTTTAGTGTCGGTTAAGGTAAACCGGAAAGAAGTACAACACGCTTCTTTCGATGGAGACATCTAGGTCTATAGAATGGAATGAGCGCGTACGTGGCGGTGCGTGGTCAGGTACCAACACCGTCTTTCCTCTACCTGTGTTCTACACACGTTTTACACTAAATCATAGGATAGGTCCGTCACCGCAAAGATGCCCACGTGCCCCCACCGTCCGACGGTGGAGTCTTTGTACGGAACGGTGGGGGTCGACGGTGCCGGGTAAACCGGCTCGAAACAAAACCCTTTCCTCTCTCTCACACGAGTAGCCTGTAACTACTCTCTTTCACGCACTCTCACAGGCTACGTTCACCTTAACGGCTCGTGTTCTCGCTCGGATACATTGGGGGGAGGGGTGGGGACCGCGCTCGAACCTTATATACTCAACCCCCACGCTAAAGTAAACTTGCCCTCCTGTCCGCGTTTTGCTCTTCGTAAGCCTATGTCTCATCCCCTGTCTTCCTCTACTCAAACGCCAGCTCCATACGACCATCCCCCCCCCCCCCGAAAAAACATGGGGGGGGGCGGGGGCGCGGTTTTTTTCGGTATGTTATTTACCGAATCGGCTCTGGTGGTACTTTTTACTACAATTTCATTCGTTTTTATTTTCAGGACGGTTGAGCAGCGCCTCATTTAACGTGTCTGTCGTCAATCATTCTAACTAAAGTCATCGGTGAACAGACCTCTCTCAACGCTTCCTGATCTTTGCCCAAAACTTCTTCGCACAACCACGTCCCGCCAGTTCACTAGCACGAAGAGTTATCTTGTAGGACTGCCCCAGCAACTAAACTCTAATGGAAACGCAGCATAAAGTGAGCCTGGCCTACCAAGGCCTAACTATACCGTACTAAGCCGTGCGAGGACCTGCAGTGGAAATGCGCCATTATGTAAACGGTGAAGAATTCAGAGTGAAGCAGAGCTGTGGAGAAACAAAAAAAGCACAACGACCACCACCTGTGCAACTTCAATATTTTTGTTCCTTTTAATTTAAAACAAAATGTAATCTTTACACATTTTGTTTTAAATGTACAATCAAACAATCAATGTAATCATACATAAAATTCTTCATAATAATGCACAACTCTATCGACACTACCCATAAATTAAAAAAAAGGAGAAAAACATCGAGATCAGTATGAAATACAATGTTAGGCACCACCACTGGTTAACAAAGACGATGCTCTGCTGCCTGTCACAAGAACACAGGATGAACCCGACCTTCCTCACACTCTCTCACACACACAGTACTGCCACCACTACAGGTAAAGTGCTGCCGTTTGTCCCCGCTTCACCACCGTCTCTCCATCTCCCTTCATCGTTTATAAAAGGATCACAATATGTTCTGAGGACAAAGAGGGGAAGGTTGGTGGGGGTAGCAGGTGGGTTTTTAGGGATCATGTATGGGTGTGAAAGCCATACAAAAACAACCTTTGCCAGGCACTTGGCAGATGTTGCGAGATCGGACAAGATTTAGCACAACCTGCTGTAACGAAAAGCAGCGTGCAGGTGGAGCCGTTTCTGTGATTTGCAGTAAATTACATTACTTATTTTGAGTTAAAGACTCCATTCCTGTCTTTGGAAACAGCGGTTAAACTCTTTTTTATATTATTATGATTCCAAAAAGTGTGTGTTTTTGACTTACGGTAACAAAATAACAATTAAAAACATTACGGTGGGTTATTTTTTACAACAATTGGGCTTTTTTACTAATCAAATACATATTAGTGGTTTAGTGACATTTGATTTCCTTTTGTCCTTTAAGCCTCACACTGAACGGCAGCGACAAACACACACTTACATTCTCGCACACACACACAGCTGGATCAGTAAAGAAAACACACTCATGAAGGTCTTTTTCTCCACGTTTATCCTTCTGAAATTGAACATTTTGTTCTTGAAATACAGTCCCCACACACACACACACACACACACACACACACATTTTGACTTACGTTCACCCGGGGGAAGCAGCCATGCACAACGCCACGTTTGGGGGTGAGGAGCAGGTGCTGGAATGTAGTGGCGGTAAAACACACACACATTCTCACACACACATTTAAATCACAGGTTAACAATGTATTTCTCTGCAGGACGGAAATGTGTGGTGTGTGTGCAAGGGGGGGTTCTATTCATAGAAGCCTGGAGGCGTCGAGGTTTCTCATCGCGTCCCTCAGCGGCGGTTCATTCTGACCTTTGACCCCCGGCCAGGCGACAGGACGGGTGAGGCACGTGGGGGGTGCAGACGGGTGTGTGTGTTACAGGTGAAGAGAGAGCATGCAGGTGTGAGGTGTCTGCAAGTGCAAAAGTGTTGCGATGTGTGTGTAGAAAGTGCATTCCGTGTGTGCGTGTGTGTGTTTGCCTTCAGCAGCCGCTATGATAACAACAAAGTCTTTTATCACGTTTCCTCTCCCTCTCATGGCCTGCAAGTCTCTGTGGAGGGCACGCTCCGTCCGCCAGGTTCTACAAAGCTGGAAACTAAACATGGAAACAAAACGGGGTCCGAATGTCAGCGATTGGAGCCGTCCAGGAGGTACACTTCCTCCTCGCTGTCGTCGCCCCCCCGGCCGTCCTGGAAGGAGCCGATCAGTTGAACATGATGGACCCGGGATCTTGGTCTGCCATTTGAGCCATGTGACGCAGGATATCTTTTTTTGTGATAATACCAAGAAGCCGCCTGCAGAGGGAGACAAAGGGAAGGAGGAAGAAGTTTAGAGAAGTGAGGAGGAGGTTTGGAGTGAAGGAGAGAAAACAACATCATGCTTTTGTTGGCGAGGAACTCTTCAATCAGGGAGTTTTTTTAATGGCTCTTATGGTTAATGATCACATTCATTTTGTGGACGTTGATTAGCAAGCCAACAAAAACATGAGTCCCTGAGGAGATAAAAGTCAGCAGGAGGACAGGAAGTGAGGAACCAGGTCTGAAACAGCACCCGACTGTCAGAGAGCAGGGTGCTGTTTCAGACGCTGCCGCCACTGTTTTATGTCATCGCTCCTAAAAGCTGGTGAGAAGGAACAACTGGATCCTACAAGGAGACAGGAAGTAGAACAGGAAGTGGAGAGTAGGAGAAGAGGGGGCATGTCACAGGAGTCAGAAATCATTTAGACGATGTGGAGGTGAGATTACGTCCCACTTAGAATTATATCGGCTGTTACTAGCAGAAATGAAAAAAATTGAAAACTTAAAAGTACATTTTACACATTATTTTTTTCTGTAGACCCTATTTCATTGTCATTTTTACATTAATGATGGTATTCTATCCCAATTCTATGTTAATTCTATGTATATGAAAGGAGCTTTATTAAGACTTATTTTCTAGTTAAAATGCATGTAGGACTGGTAGAGACTGCCCTGGTGGGACGATCAACATTTCCATAGTGACGTGAGCAACTTCTGACTCCTGTGACAGATCCTTCTTCTCCCTCTACGTGAGAGTAGATTAACCTGATGGACCCAACTATAATGAGACCGGGTCTGACTCAGTAAGACGTTTCTAAATATTCAGTTAGTGAAGGTTAGGTTTCTGCTGATTTAGGAACACATTGCAGGTTAGGGTTAACCTAATAAGGCTCTGATTCTCCAGCTGTTTAAACGTGACTGAAGTGGAAAGAGGGAGAACAAGCTCAGGTTTGTTTTAGTATGGACTCAGAGAATTTATGTATTACTCACATTAGCTTCATTTGAACTCTATAAGTGTAAACAAAATGAGTGAAAGGAAAAGTTTGAGAAGACCTGTGGAGGGTCAGAGCTCCTGAGCAGCAGTGACAGATGCTGTCTAGCTCGTATAAAAGCATAGAAATAAACAATAACAGATGTAGAAGCTCGGGATACCTGGAACAGACTGTATAAAGGGTTCCGGGGGGGNTTATGTATTACTCACATTAGCTTCATTTGAACTCTATAAGTGTAAACAAAATGAGTGAATGGGGGGGGACAGCCAGCCGTGTCCAGAGACGTCTTTATAAGTGGAACTCTGACATGTAAGCTACTTTGATTGGTTGATAAATTGTTTGTTTTCAGCCTGTCTGTTTATATCATTTTAAGTTAGTATCTTTTGGTTTAGGACTTACACAACAAGACATTTAAAGACCTCTACTTGTATTTTAAGCATTAAGCATGAACACTTTTCACTCAAAAAACTGCAGTTACCTATCATTTAAAGAATTATTGAATTGCAGCCTTACTGAAGTTAAACATGGACACACTTTGGCTCCTTAATTCATTATTAATATAAGCATTGTGAGCTGTAGGTCAATATGTATACAATAATTCCTTGATAATGTGTGTGCTAAATATGCTCTCAGTACTCAAAAGAGCATCCATTTTGTTTATAAGACACATTGAGTCTCCTGCCCACGGACACAGCTGGCTAAGAGGAAACATTGGCAGGCTAAAGAACAGGATTAGTAATGACTTCACCAAGGTCTTTTTATCACCACACGCTAACTACAGCTCTACCGGCACCAATCAACACACTGCACTACAGAATGAGGGGAAACCTACCCCCCTCTCCCTCCCTGCTGATAACACACACCACCCACTAAGGATATTGAAACAGAGTCCTAGCTACTCGCCAAGTGGTTGTTACGGTCTGATGTCTTCGCTCTGTGGAGACCCAGGGAAACGGTGGGGTCGAGAGGGAGGGGTTTAAAACAGAAGAAAAAAGCACACGTTAATGAGGGTAGAATATCGAGGGTGGGTGTATTGTTAGAGTAATTGTTGTGAGAGGGAGGTGGGAAACACTTAACAGGCATCATGGTTACATGACTGCACACATGCTGAGAAACTGTAGAGCATGTGCTCCAAATCAAACCATCAGCTGCTATGTAGTGACTGCAGAGGAGCAATGAGATGAACATCTTATCAAGGTGCGAGCATGACACAACGCGAAGCAGCGCCACAGGGGGCAGACGCAGGGATGCACAGCTGCATTCTGGGAATCTACCGACCCTTTCAGACATGGAGGCAGGTACTGCTGGCTTCTGCTAAGCTAGGTTTTGATATAGATTGGGGAGCGAGTCGAAGAGTTTGGGTTTATTAAATCTCACAAATGTTCGCATTGTAGAGGAATATCTACGAACACACATTTTTCCCTTTTTTCTAACATTAAAAGTAATTAACAATATATTAAAGTGGCTTAAAAGTAAAGCATCAAAGATCTTTTTTGACCTTGACGTAGTTGAAATTTAAAGTTTGGACGAAGGCACTCATTTAAAATCCCCTGAGTTAAGCCTAAGAATCTTTAAGGACATGTTACAAGGTCCTACCTGGTAAGGGAGTGCTTTAATACTTTGATGGTAGAATCACTTTTAACATGAACACGTTAAATATCCAGCATATTCCCGTAATGGATCACACGTCTGAAAGGGGCTCTATAGAGGGATGTAGATGACAGTTCCCAAAGAGGTCCGACATTACAGGACCCAGAAAAAAAAGAACTTATTTGACGTCAAAACTCATAACAAGCCGCCACAGGCGATGAAGATGAAGATGGTGTTTCTACAGATGTTTCTCCAGGATGAGGCGTTGGAGGAAACTCCACACCAAACTGTACCCACAAACAAACACAGTGCCAACAGTGAGTACAAGAAGAACAAGAGGAGGAGGAGGAGGAGGAGGAAGGCTCAATGCTTAGCCGGGAACGGTCAACATTCTTTCACACCAAGTTTCATGCAGCCCTCGTAAGAGGCGGAGCCTAAGAGACAGGTGCGAAGAGTGTGTAAGGGGTCACATGTGTAAAGGGGTGGGGCTAGTCACCAGGGGCTCCGTGTTCTGCTTGAGCTCCTCCAGATGCTCTAATATATTCTTCTTTGTGATGATGCCCAAAACATTCCTGAAACACACACCCGTTACTCGGTAAACTGCCCAAAAACAACATAAACAACAACAAATACATCCAAAACAAAAAAAAACAGAAGAGAGACAGAGAGAGAACAGACAGCAGCAGCAGCACAACTTACATACCAGGGTGTAACTTAAAATAATAAACAGATAACTCAAGTAGGAATTAAGATTTAACAACTTAAATGACACAAACAAACAAGTTATGATGGAAAGTGTCTGTAGTGGGTGTCACATCATTATAATAAACATGTAGTCTATTGTAAGTCCATCTAATGTATGCTGTCTACTGTATACTTCCTACAGCAACACATTTGTATTAATGCATTTTTAAATAGTCCCCAATTAAAGTCCCCAATTAAAACACAGTGCTGTTTAAGAAAACAAATACAAAAAAAAACAATATAATGTTTGACCTACTTTCATGAGATTTGTAAACATGAACTACACATATAGAACAATGCCAGCCGTATCCTTTAAAATATGAGATGTTAATGAAAAAAACAAACACTGCTGCACAGCTCCTCTCACAGCAAACTGAGAGAAGAGATCTGTAAATCGAGGAATATTAAACACAATGCTTCTTGTTATTCATACATCACACCAGCAGGGGGCTCTCTCTCTTCAGAACACACACAAAGGGCCTTTATTGACTGCTTCCCGACATGATACCTGTTATGCAGCTGTAGTTAGTTTCCTCAGCAGGAGAACATCTGTTATTGCTCAGTGGGGGGTAAAGGAGGTGCAGCACAGCGTTAGGCCATGCAGATTACAGGGAGGGTCCCAGATTTCAGAGCCCATTTAACACCGGCAGTGTTTACATGTTGACTTCAGACGGGCGAGTCAAACAGAACCAGGAAGGAGGACGCAAGAAGAACACATCCTTCCTCCACAATATTTCATTTCCTACTTACCCGTTGTGAGTGACCAGGCACTGGCGCAGGCCCAGCTTCCTGAAGATGTCCACCACGATCTCCATGGGGGTGTGGTCGGTGACGGTGAAGGGGCTCATGTCCAGGATGGAGCGCAGCTTGAGGGGCCGCGGGCTGTCGGCCGGCAGGGTGGGGGCGTGCTGCGTGAAGTAAACCCTGGAGTTCAGCATGATGCCCTCCTGCTTACGACGAGCGTTTTCTGTGGAGAAAGGAACAGGAAGTTATTACACATTCAGAACCATTTTGAGTTCAGCTTCTTACTTAAACTTCCTTTTGGAATAATGGGTTATTGCATCTAATTACCACAAAAGAAACATAATGATCACAACTTCCATTGAATTACGTGTTGTATTCAAATTAAATGGCATTATGTGCTAGGGCTGTGCAATTAATCGTATTTTAATCTTGATTACGATTTTGGCTTGCAACGACTACGAAAACAACGTAATCGAAATAAAACGATTAGTATTTTTATTTAAAAAAAAAAAAATTATACTTAAAGTTCAGGGTAACCAATTTTGGGTGATGATATAGTCTACATGCTTTATAAACAGTCAAAACAGTAACAATTGATTTGAAGACAACACAAAGATTTCAAACAGAACCATCCGTGTACTCTCTTTCTGTTCTGACACTTCCACTGAAATGAGAGTCAAAGAGAGAGTTTGCTTACCTATAGCGATGGTGATGTCCCTGCGCAGAGCGAAGCCCACCAGCCTCTGGGACTCCTTGGACACGATGACAGGGAAACCGTTATAGCTGGTCTCATTGATGGTGCTCTGCAGCTCCTCCACCGTCAGGTCGTCCTGCGTCAGCACGGCGAGCGGGGGGTCGCTGCGCCGCGGCCGCATCACGTCACTGGCCAGCGTCACGTGGGTGAACTCCTCCTTGGCGTCCAAGAAGGGGTAACCGTTCAGACGGATGTGCGCCTCGTAGATTCCCTGGCGACCAAACGCGTCGCCCACCCACTTGCTGGTCATGACAGCGGCCATGAGGGGGACGATGTACTCCAACCCCCCCGTCAGCTCGAACACGATGACCACCAGAGAGACGGTCATACGGGTCACACCGCCTGGAGAGATAGAAGGGTAACAAAATAACATCCAGACACAAACTTGCACTATCACGCAGTTTTCCGCTGACTCACCCAGACATGCGGCGGCCCCCACCATGGCGTAGAGCCCCGGCGTGATGCAGTCGGCCCCCACCTCGCACCACTCTTTGAAAAGGAACCAGTCGTGGTGATAATACGCCAGCTGCTCCACGGCGATGCCAACGATCCGCCCTGCGATCGCCCCGATGGCCATGCTGGGGATGAACAGCCCCGACGGTACCTGAGGGGGGGGGACAGGAAGTGGGTTTAGGGTTAGGTAAAAATTACACAGTATGAAGTTGACTTTTGATTCTGTTCTGGTTTTATGTTTCAGTACTTGTAAGCAACTGACTGAAAGAATATTGCTTTTATTTGACTATTTTTAGGGTTATTGTTTTTTTATTTGTTGTTATTTTTAGGTATAATAAATAATTTACTTCTTTGCTTTACTGTACTTCTTTGCTGTACTGTACTTCTTTCCTTACGTGCTATCAACACCTCAAGGGCTCACCTTGAGTCCAAAGGTGAATATGGTCATGATGATCTTGAAGACGAGGGCCAGGCAGAGCTGCCAAATGGCGGCGTAGACCCCGGGCCCCGCGGGGCGGTTGGGGTTGTCGTTGAACGCCTTGCTGCCGTTCATCTGGCTGCGGTACTGGCAGAGCTGCGAGGACTCCAGCGGGCCGCAGTCTGTGAACAGCTCCTTTATCAACTCGCTGGTGTTCTGACGCGTGTACGGGTTGGGGAAAGCAAACACAGCGGTGACGGCCGTTACCAAGATCACCTCCAACACCGGGTACTTTCCTGAAGAGAGGGGAGATGCAACATGTCAGGATGCAGGAGTCTTAAAGCATGACAGCTGTACTTTTTCAAATATTCGTTTAACAAAGACTCGAGCCCCCTTTCCGAGCCTCAAGGATCCTTCTTCTGCCACCAACACCATCACCTTATTTTAATGTTTAGTAGATTTTTTTTTGTTTTTTTGATACAACTGATGTTTTAATGGACTGAAGAACAATCCACTCTGCACTTTTATAAAGACTGTTATTTAGTCACTTTATGATGCAAATTCGCTATTTTTGTGTGCATGAATTGTATGTTGTGCTGTGTATGGTGAGTGAAATGTTATCTTATTTACCGGTGCCAAAGACACGTTTCCATCATATGTAAATGTAATGGAAAATAAAGTATTCTGAATCTGAATGTCGTTCGATTTTATTCAAGAGATAGCACTTTACTGCCAATATTTCCAACACTCGACAACCAAAACAACCTACATTGATAAATCACTGCAGGTAAGAGGAAGATATTTTTCAATAATAAGGTGAACTGTCTCTTTATTGTTTTTAAATAGCTGCTTGCGAGAGAATTTAGTCATTCATCTCTCTACTCCGACGATAAAGCTGTCATCGTGAACCTTTTCATCTCCCAGACAGCCCATCATATCAAGCATCTACCTCCACCTGGCTGACATATCCACATTTTAAATTTAAGACAGACTACTTGCCGAAGCGCGTGGACTTGCGCCGCCGGCACCAGGCGATGTTGGCCCGGATGAAGAAGGCTCCCCAGAGGCCTCCGAACACCCCCAGCAGGATGAAGGGGATGAGCTCGAACAGGTACCAGGGAGTGTGGTACTCCACGTAGAACAGCACCAGACGACTGTTCCCAAACGGGTTGATGGAGCGCAGGACGAAGGCAGCCACCAGGGCGGCGAAGAAGGAACGCCACAACGTCTTGAGAGGGAAGTAGTAGCTCACCTGGAGGAAGGCGTTTCATTGTATTCATTATTCTGTCTTTAACACCGAGCATTGGGATTTTAAGCTTGAAAGAAAAGCTTAAAGGTCCCCTATTATACTGTTTTTCATTACTTTATTATAGGGCTCCAAACACATCATGCATTGCAGCATCCCATAATCCCCTCTGTTTCAGCCCTGTTTCAAAAGTGCTGATTCTCTGTCTGTTACTTTAGATGAAAGTAAGGAGCCCCTCCCCACGCCCCTCTGAGAGATATTTGGTTAAAAAGAACACAATGGTGCTCTAGGAGGAGATTCAGGTGATAAGGTGGGGGGGGGTTACCTTGGTTGCTGATTTGCTAATGGTTAAACAAGCCAAACAATCGTTATGACATCATAAAGTTGCCAAAATCTGATCAGCTCATTTTCAGACAGGTTTTTATATAAATGGATCAGGACAAAAAGAGAGGGGGTCATTTTTCCTGAAACTTTCAGAATCTCTTCACACAGAGGGGACACATGGTTATGTAGAAAATACATGAAAAGTGGATTTTGCATAATAGGTAACCTTCAACAGGCGCTCCTTGTGTGTTTTACCTCCTCCAAGCTGAAGAGCACTCCTCCAATCGGGGCTCCAAAAGCAACAGACACCCCGGCGCCGACGCAGCAGAGAGAACCTGGGAAACAAAACAAACGCACCCTCAGCTGATCTGAAAAACACACAAGTCATATTATTCATGATAACAGAACACAACTCGGGCTTAATGCTTCTTAGGTAAACATCAAGCCGTCTTTGGCTCTTTTTCTGCTGTAACAATGTAAAATGTCCCCTCTGTGGACTAAATAAAGTTATTCTGATACTTAAAGGCCATCAAAGCATGACTGAAACATAACTAAAAACAAACGAGTTATATGTCTTGTCCCTCAACCTCTCGTTTCTTTGCCCTCGTTCTTGCTGTAACTTGGGGAAGAGGTAGGAGAAGATGTTCCCGCAGCAGCAGGCCACGTGCACCAGCGGTCCTTCCCCAGGCTGAGCCCCGACGCCAGCCAGCACCAGAGTGACGGTCTTTATCAACAGGGTCCACTTTCCCAGGTAGCCCCGATAATAAACCCACTGAGGAATATCTTTATCTGGGGAGAGAGAGTTTATGGATTTTTTCCATAATATATTTCTCCCATGAAAAGCTTTGTGACATGAAGGCCTGTGTTAACCTCCTATAGATGTGACTGTAATGAACAAGTACACTTGGATCAATACAGAACATTAAGAGAAGGAAATAAGCAATTCATTACCTATCAACAATAATCAAGATGACTTTTTTTTGCTTAGGCTGGCTTTCTCTACCTCCCAATTCGTTCCCTTTATTCTCCTTTTGTCACCATCTTTTAAGTCATTTTTCACTACACAATGCAATTGGTATATATAATTATAAACTAATATATATTGGGATATACAATTCAATTCCAGCTCTTCATTGTTCTCATAGCAACAAACAAATTAAAGTTGAAAAGCTCAGAAGGGGGCTTGTGAACCATAGCTTTTTCACAGTGCCGGTCAAACCTCCCTGCCTCCCCACGAATTAAACAATTTGACGCCACATATCAAAACATAAATAGGGAACGCATACGAATGAAAACATAACATTACATTGCGTTTAGACCAAGTAAAAGAGGCCCCGTATCACAAGGCTTTCTTTATAATGTGCCACTTACAGTTTCTTAAGTCCTGATGCAAAATTGATCAGATGTGAGAAAATGAGAGCCGAGGGGATAAAACCGGAATCGTCGATAATACTGCAGAAATCCTACAAAAGCATAACCCCATCGCTCTGAAACAGAGAGAAGGAACAGACAAAAAGAGACCCAGCTGCTGAACCCTCATTTAGCTGGATACAACTTCAGGCTATGAGCTACATCATTTGACAAATTGAATAACTGTCAAAAAAATCTGCTTGGATGTGGAGTTCCCTTATGAGACGTCAATGCA